TATGCAACGATTGCGATCAAGAATATCCATGATAAGCTGCTATAATATCAACTTTGTTAGAATGATCCAGAGATTGCGATTCTTTTTGTCTTCTGAGAGGTATTTAAGCGACCGTCCTTGAGTTAGAGTAGCCTGTTACTCTTGGATTCGATCGAAGGATTCTTCTAACGAGCTTGTCATCAAATTCCTATCGAACTTTAAGATCGTTCGAGCGGTTCGTTTTGCTGAAATTGATCCTTTCTCAACCGATAACGATAACCGATAGGATGGTCTTGACGATGTTCGAGAATCTCGATCGGTACAACAAGAGATTCGAGGACCTGTTCCACGAACGTACAACAACTTTGTTTAGTTTCATTCGCAAGGAAACGATTGCCGAGCGAATATTTCATCGCAAGTTACTCGAAATTCCTGGACCAAATCACTCGATCTTATACAACGACTTTTATTATCAAAGGTAGTTTTACTCTCGTCAAATTGCCAATGTAGCTTCGCCTTCGTTGTTCGTCTTTTCACGCTCAAAATATTCTCTCAAGGATATTCCTGTGTCCGGGCTTGTTCTATCAACGTATACTGATTTTCTTTCGTTTTAATCCATTAAAGGCTAATATCGCGTTGACCCACCATATTTGCAATTTCTTCGATCAGTTCGCGTTAACGAATTCTGTTTTCTTTATCTGTAGATATATGAAATTTGCTATCGTCTTAAAACCTCGTAAAAAGCTTTCTTCTTTTTATATATCCTTTATAAATCTCTCGAATAGTTCAGTACAATTAATTACATTTTTGAAAAACTGAATTTTATTGTAGACGTGTCGATTTCGGTACATTCACCGACGATCGCTAAAATCGACCACTGTACTGCGTGTGTACGCGTGTTATTGACCGTGCGTGAGTAAATCTGTCGGATGATTTTTTTCGAGTCTTCTGGGCAGCTCTCTGAATAGCAGCTTGCAATTAATAGGTTTTAATAGATTTTCTATTCCGTACGAAGCATTGACATGGTTTCTAAATCATTGGAAAATAGGAGCATGCACAAATACTTCTTCTATTCATTGTGTACGATGTACTCAGTCGCGTATCATCATCGTATTAATGAAATTTCAAAATGTTTCAAATGTATAAAACAGGCAATATATACAGGGTGGTTGGTAACTGGTGGTACAAGCGGAAAGGGGGTGATTCTATGCGAAAAAAGAAGTCGAAAATATGGAATAAAATTTTTTTTTTTTAATTTTTCCATCGAGACAACGATCTACAGTGAGATCCGTGACAAAGTGCACGCGTACCGAGCGAAAATTCAAAGTCGATTTTCTCGAAAACAAAGCCTCAAACGAAAAATTTTTATTCTATATTTTCGACTTCTTTTTTCGCGTAGAATCACCTCCTTTCCGCTTGTAGCACCAGTTACCAACCACCCTGTATATATGAAATTTATATAGTACATGGTAAATGTCCAAATATCTTCGTGAGCCAATGTATAACATTATGATAAATCACCGATCGCTTCTTAATGGGATAATAAAGTCTTGGCAAATCGCGCTATTCTGAAATTCTGACGCCTCCACCTTCGTCTTGTGTAAATTCGAACGATCGTAAGAAGCGACGAAGAATGTTCCCCTCGTGGACGTAGCAAGATCTCAATTGTATCGATACAGGTTCATCGTTGTTCGGGGAAGCTCGAAGGGAGGAAGGAAGAAAGAACCGGGCGATATAAGCGTCTGTGATGTTTCGTCGTTGTATTTATCACGCGTTCCCCCTGCCACCCGTAGATCTTCAGCATCGTTGCCGAGTGCCTTTTATCAGTTGTAGCGAGATACATTAGGACGAGTGCGGAGCGTGTCGAGGTTTCACGAGCTGAAAGAAGGGCCAGCAAAAACGAGAGAAATGTTTTTCCACTTAAGAATCGTTCGTTCGATGGACCGTTAAAAGGAGGCGATTCTTTTTCCTCGTACATTGTCGAATAGCAAAGGAAAACGAAACGAGAAGCTGGACGAAGTTTGTCTTTAAAAACATCGCTGGATAGCTGCGAATTTCCATCGACGACGAATATCCAATCTAGAAGCGTGAAATCACATGAAACCACTGCTATCAAATATTTAGTCTCCTGGTGCAATTCCGTCAAAAGATCGATATTCTTATTATACTTTGAAAGTTACAATAGAAAAATACTTTTCCACCGTTGGATATTCCGCCGCTTCTTGTTACAACTGAAATCAATCGTTCTGCTTGATTTAAATTGAGACCAGCGAGTATACCTGCGAAGTTTCCATGTTGTATCGCTCGAAGATAAACAAACGAATGCGTAAACAGTTGCTGTCTGATAACAACGATCCTACGGTCGCTGCAACGCGGAGAGAGAAAAGCTGTGCTTACGGAACTCGGACGATCTCGTCGAGGAAACCTTGACACTGGCTCGTCTATCTCATCCATAGGCGTCCGTAGGTATTGGAATTTCTAGATCCGCGTTCCTTGCCGCTACGAGGGTCACGTAAGATCGAGCGGACGAGTGGAATTCGATTCATCGATCGGTTTCGAAGAACGATGTTGCGAGAGATCAATGGATCACGGACGAGAGAAACTATCTGGAAAGCATCGTCTTTTGACTTTTCTTTTACCTCGCGCATTTTAGGTTGCAAAGCGTAACGCGGGCTATTCAAACGAACGACAAAGGAGCCGCCGATGATAAAGCCGCGTGTTTGATTCAGGCGTTTCGGACTCGAGGAGCAACGGGGGAAGAAAATACGCGACGAGATGAAAGAGAAAGACAAAGAAAGAAAGAGATTGGTATCGCGTGGAAGAAGGAAGTGTTACGCGATGCAAGAGCGCGTTCCATCCAGTTAGATCTGGCCTAGGTTGACCAAGCCACCTAGAGAAGCGAGATGCCGGGGTGGGAGGCGTCCCTACTGATCAGGGGTGTCAGTTGGGGTGGAGGAAGAGGGTGGTCGAATAGGTGGAAACGCATGCGCTCCCTTTAGCCGGTATGCTGGCAGGGATGCTTCGCCACGAGCGAGACAAAGAAGCGTCTGCGACAAGGAGAACGACTGCCAGTGACGGAGAAAGACAGCTACAGAGCGCGTGCGAGGGAAAGAGATATCGCGAATGGGGAAAGAAGAGAAGGATAAAGAGGGAAGACAAGGATCTAAAATGTAAAAGGGAGATCGCGACCGTGGAAGCGCGACGCGAGACCGATAAAGATAAGCGGAGTGCGTCGTGTTTGCGTTGGAGAAAGAAAAATCGAGTGAAAGGGGTGAAAAAAGAGAGAAAGAGAGAGACAGAGAGGGAGAGAGGGCTAGAGCGACACGCAGCGATGGCTAGAACAGGAGGGAGGAAGCGAGGTCCGCCACGTCTAGGCAGCTCGAGAGACTCTACTCCCACCCAGCTCTCCTCTTCCTTGCTCGCTTTCTCTCTCTCCTCTTTCAGTGTTCGTTCGAACACGGCCCGGTACGGTTCTATCGCCCCGTGCTCGAAGGATCCTCTTCGTGAT